TACAAATTCAAAACTCAATGTAGTAAGTTTTCTATCCCTTCTCAGTTTGGATTTATTTTTCTATTATTTAATATTATTCTTTAAAAAGTCTAAATGTGATAAAACAATGAATCTGTAGAAGAATTTTGTTCCTTTTTGGCTACTTTCCAATTCATATCCTGTAGTAAATGACATTTTAACACTAAATAAGATTGAAAAAGGAGCACCCTTTGAAATAGCAAAGCAGAAACCTTTAGAACAGATGGAATGAGACTGTAGTAAATCATCTATAATTTCCTTGTGATACGCTACTCTTATGGAAAACCTGTTTGACAAAGAGTTTGATTAAACTTCGAATTGGCTATAGTCTGACACTTCTATCTCTGAGACCTGCCTTGTTAGGTACGGTGTGCTATATATCCTTTGAAGGATGTCTATTCCTAGAACAATTGTAATTAATTTGTCCCTTGATATGAAAGGCTAAGAAATTATCCTTGGGAGCTCATCAGTTTTTCTTAACTTCATGTAAGTGAAGTGTTAAAATGCAGGAATAGCAAATTCAATTGTAATACTGCCCTACTAACTTGGAATTGAGGATGTCAATTTGAATTAATATAAAGAGAAAGTATTATATGTATCAATTACTATGGCATACATTTAATATTCTTCCTATTAGGATAGTAAGAAGTTGCCCAGTAGGAATATTAGAAGGAATTATTTTAGTAAGTATAGTTCATATTCTTCTATTTTTAAAAAGCATATTTCTTTTTTATATATTATACAGCTCACAATATTGCTTTTTCCATTTTAGGAAATAATACAAATAATATTAAAAGCAGACCAATTAATGTTCTAATCATCAGATGTTCATATTAGTGAAGCTTGCTTCATTAATGACTAATGGCACAATGGTAGGCACAATGTGGAGTCCATGGATGTAAATATTCTTAATGGTACAATCTTCAAAACAAATATCCCTAACATGTAAAATACATTAAGCAAGAGAAGAAACGGTGGCAGATGCCTAGGAGTACTGCAAGCCTAAGGTCTGCCTGGGCAACTTATTAAGGTGCTGCCTCAAATAATATGGTTGGGGATGTAGCTTAGTTGTACAGCACTTTTCTAGTAGGTTGTGAGGTCCTGAGTTCAGTCCCTATTTAAAAAAAAAAAGGAGAAAGAAGAAAAACAAAGATGAGGGAGAAGGGAAAGTAGGAAGGGGAGAAACGTCATTCTTGAGAAACATGCTATTAAAACAAAATGCAAAAAACTTAAAACTTAAAACTATAAACAAAATAAAGTTGTATGATATTGGGAAATAATTGTAACCAATATTCATAAAAAACTATATTGTTAGAGATGCAGTACCAGTATTGTTAGAAGTGAAATGCTAGTTGGACATATAAACTTATTCCTTCTTAGAACACAATTTGATCAAAATGTGTCAAAGACACAAGCATCTTAATGAAAATTTATAGATACGGATAAGCATTTATGTTTTTATATGATAAACCGGAAAAAAAATTAACACATGACAATATTTAAATAATGGTCATGAAACAATATATCAACATATGAGAAATACTTTTTGAAGAGTATTCAATGGGAGTATACATATGATCTATTAATAAGATAACATACAAAGTAATATATACTATATAATTCCAATATATTATTATTTTTTAAGTCAACAGAAAAACACAAGGGGGTCGGGGAGATGGCTCAATAGAATAAGCACTTTCCTGGCAAGCGCAAGGGCCTGAGTTCAACCCCCAGTTCTGACAAAAAAAAAAAAAGACAATAGAAAAAAGTATACCAAATATCAAATCTTAAATAGTTATTTCTGGTTTGAGATAACAGACAGTTATTCTCATTTTCACACAATCCTGTACTTTACTTTAGTGAAGTGCTGATGACTGAACCCAGGAACTTGGGCAAGCCAGCTAAGTGCTCTACTACTGAGCTAGAGATGTAGCTCCAGTTCTCTATTTTGTAAATTTTCTATAACAAATTTATATTTGTGATAATAATAATTTTTAAGGAAAATTAGGTCTTCCTAGGCAGGATAAACAAACAAAACAAAATATATATATTTTAAGTGTTAAAACACTTAACCACTTACCTGTGGTATACAGTCAGTGTATGCAAACATTGATTTAAAGCGATCATCCATGCTTATGTGGTAAAGCACACATATTGCTATTTGTTTGTAGTTTTCATTCCCTAAGAATAAAACAATGGATATAATAAAGTATATATACACATGCTCTATGCCTACTCAAATTCATATACTAAAACTTAAGACTATTGCATAAAGTCCTTGTACGTTAATGCGGAAAATATTTGGAGCTCCCTAACTTAAATCCAAAGCTTGGAGCGCACTAATGCTTTCTGGGATATATTTGGAGAAAAAATAGCCATGACTCTAAAACGTACCATTTTCAGTAGTTCAAAACAAAACAAGGTGGATCAATGACCCCCCTCATCCTTACTGTTTTATCAGACATAGGTTACTACAATTTTTTGACAATGACCATGTTATAAGAAACAGTAATCAAAAATATATGATTTCCCTGAATCAAAATTGGGAATATTCAAAAGCTGAAATAAAAAAAAATATCTGCAACGTAAAAATACATGACTATAAAAACGTAAAACTAAGCATAGTCTAAGGAATATTTCAGCTTTTTTGAGGTTAGATTGTTCTAAGCTAGGGATATAGCTCAGTGATAAGAGCACTTGCCTAGATATAAAGCTGGGATTTATGACAGAAAACTTAATAAAGATGAATACTAATGTTAATGGCTATAGATTTAATGTTATACTAATTATTTGAGGTTGAGAATTTTATTTAGAGGGAAAAGTAATTTAAAAATTGTGAAATTCCTCCAATAAGAGTAGAGACAAACTAGGTTATTGCTACCTCTAACATTATTTGTTGAGATCAGAATAATTATATTGGATTTTCATAAATTACATGTTTATACTAATGAAGGCCTTCATTTATACTATTTGAAAATCTCAGAGCATACTTGCCATAGGAAAGTGTATCTACAGCTTTCTAAGATGTGAAGGTGAAAAATGAAATCAATCTAACTTTATTTTGCCATGGAGGCAAATATGTTAGTTTTTTTTTTTTTTGGCAGAACCGGGGATTGATAGGTTTTGGTCAAACAATATTTCATAGTATTGTATTTTTTTTTTTTCCTAAGCAAGTGAAATATAAAATCTTTTCAAACAGAATAATAAAGCATACTCTAACATTCTGAATACTGGTCTCTTCCATCTCTTGTACAGGTCTTTTCTATGGGAGGGTTCATTTACAGGTTAAGGTGGTGTGCTACTTGAAAATATTTTTTTCTATACAATGGATTCACTGAAAAGTAGGATTTGAAGCCATGCAATTTACTTGATGGCAAAAGGAACAAAGAAAGAGAAATCAATAACCAATATAAAAGATTCTTCAATATCAAATTAAATCTGTCTCATCCTTAGTCCCTCAAACATTAAAATCCAATGTGGGTCTAAGAATGAACCAGAATAGGAAATTTAGGATAGTCTGTCTGCTGCTGATGTCAATAAAAAAATTCTAAAACCCAATTTTAGAATTCTTTAGTTGAAGCATCACACATTAAAAGTGAGAGGAAATAAAGATTTGCCATGAAGAAATCTGTCCCCCTTTAAAGGATAAAAAGGCCAGTTCTCTATTTCTCTCTTCTCTTCTGTCTGTCTGTCTGTCTGTCTGTCTGTCTGTCTGTCTGTCTGTGTCTCTCTCTAGACAGAAGATATGGAGAAGAATCTTAATGTTATAGTGATTTATAGTAAGTTGGTGAGTCATTAAAAAGTATTCTCATGCAAAACAATACTTTATAGAAAAATTAAGTATCTATTTGCAAAAAATGGGGTGCTTCCTCTGTATCTAGGGCTAACTGTGCACGTGTCCATGTTTTCTCTTCCTTTTTTTCTCTCCACACTCATGGCCAAAGGTAGTCTTCTTGCAGTTCTTCCCCATACTATCACAATTCTTCTCTACCTGTGATGCTCTTATTAAAAACAAGCATAGAAGCAAAAAAAAAAAGCCCTCCTCTAACATGTCCAAATTTCTTTTATTCATTTCCTAAAATGATGGGCTTAGCCAGAACTTTGCTGAAAACTCAAAGACTAAAAGAAACAGAAACTCTTAAGGACACAAGGCTGTAAGATGATCAAACTTTGCAACAGAAACGTTCTTTGAGAGAAGCAGAGAAAGGGCTAATGACATTATTCCTATTTCATGTTCAGCATTCATTTTCTAAACTTAGTATTGACAGTAACTTAAGAGGAAGTAGTATTCTTTCACTTAAGAGACTAGGCAATGATGCTGGCTAGAGCTTCTTTCAAAAAGAAACATAGCTGTGAATCAGGGATTCATGCCTACCACTGACTACAATAGCCCATGCACATACTTTTTAATAAGACTTCCAGGAGACAGCAGAAAGAGTGAAATTAATAATGTCAAATAGCTGGAGGACACAGCTGAGTGGCACAGCACTTGCCTAGAAGGTATGAGGCCCTAGAGTTTCACCTTAGCACTGAAGAAAAACAAAACAAAAGCAAAAACCAAACCAATGTTGGATAAATATGTTAGCATCATTGTTCCTCATGGAACAGTACAGAGGCAGATGCTCCTAGAGAGATATATCAGGATCTATGACTTGAGAAAGAAAGTGCAAGTTTGGAGAAGCAAGGAGATTAAGTACAGATATGAAATCAGAGATCTATGTCTAGGTATAGTTGGTTCCAATGGATAACTAATATTTGTGGCAGGGAAAAAACTGCTTCGGAGGCAGACAGATTGGTTTAAATTTGCGGTTGTGCCATTCATTATCTATTTAGTCTTGTAGACTATTTAGATTGTGTACTTCAGTTTCTTCATCTATAAAAATGGGATGTCTTTACCTATCTTGAAAGGTTGTTACGTGAGGATTAGGTCATAGAATCCTAGCAAAAAATTTATCACAGTCTGATAGTACAAAATCAGTTCAATAAATATAATTCTTGCATTAGTAGGTTAAAATAAACATTTTGTTTTACCAATAGAGCAGTACTACCATAAGTTCCTAATGTATATGTTATAATATATTTTTCTATCATCAAAACTATGGTTAGAATGCAAGTAGATTTGAGAAGCAGCCAAAGTTTCTCTGGAAACAGCTAGACAGCATTCAGAGGAATCCTTTGAACCTGTGCTTGACCACTTAGCTATTGTAAAATTCTGCTATTCCAAAAGTATGGGCTTAGAAAGTCATCTTAAACTATAGGCTCCACTCAAGTGACCTTTATCTAAAAAGAATCCTTTAACATTCTCGCATTTTCATAGATTTATTAAAAACTGATAAAAGAAAACAAACTCCCTCATTCAACTGATTTCCACTCAATTACAAATTTCTTCTGCTTTCATGTTTCCCTATTGGTAATGGAACTTGCTTAAACTGTTAGAGTGGGCAATGATTATAATGGTAATGGGTTACTAAGAGATAAAGGACAGAAGTCTGAGACCAAACTCATAATTAGCTACCCTACTTCCAACAACACAGAGGTATAGGTATCCCTTCATGTTTGGTCTAAACACAGTCGGACCAAAGGAATAGGAATATAATTGGTATTGCATCAGGCATATTTTTTTCTTTGAGGGAAGTGTGAAAACAGAGGATAACAGATCTAAACAACCACAATATTATATTCAGAGATTTATCTAAGCCAAATTGCTAATGTCTTTTGTATTCTAGCTGGATAAGTGTTCTCTTAGAATTCAAACATGACTTACAAATATCTGCACAATTAATTTCCCCATTTATTATTTACTTAGGGAATGAAAAAAGGTACAAACTGGTATTCATTCAAACTAGCTCTTTCATCCCAACAAACGTAATATTTTATACATGTTCTTTCCCCCCCGATGTTATTTTCCTGACTCTAATTTGTATCTTATAAATCATACTATTTCCTTTCCCATCTAAGAAAGTACAATATATGAAGACTTTAGTACATAATCACAGGTATCTTATTGCCTCGTAAATGAATGTATAAATGATTAATTTCTTAATAAAAATGTACCTATAACTTCATGGGTTCTAGTACATGGCTGACAGCCACAACAAAATGACAAAGCATTTTAGGATGAAAGTGAGTACATAGAGTGGGAAGATGTCTGGAAACACAACCCAATTGCATCATTTAAATCCAGCTAAACACAGAAAATAAAGTCTTGTTGACAGCCAACATTTATTATTACTTCAAGACTGACCTACAGATTATATAGCAATAAACAATAACTAAAGAGATTGAATGGTCCAAGTAAAATTAAAAGCTTATCTTTTAAGTCAATTAATAGTCTTTATTCAGTAGGATATCTAAATTCTTAAAAAAGACTTCAAGAAAAAAATTATATACTGTAAATGAATTCCTACAAGCAATAGGGTTGGAGGGTATAATTTTCTCATAAGAATTCATGGCTAGAAACCCTAAACCATAGCTAACCAGCTATGATTCCTCCACATCCTACAATTGGCAGGCATTTCAAAAGTTCTCCTTGAAGAGTAATAGACATCAATTATTCCCTAATGGCACTCCAAGTTAAAATAGGCTGCCAACAACTGGTATGCTGGCATGGCACCAAAGGCTCTGTGAATTTTGAGTAGAACAATGAAAAGACTGGATATTTTGAGAACTATGCTCTTAATGACTGGAGGTGGATTAGTGAAATCAGTTCAAGTAATAAAGGCAGGATAGAAAAAAATGGCCTAGTCACTATGATTCCTTTGGTATTTATGGTAATAAACATCAATCATGATCAACTCATTGGCCATTAAATACACACCTTATAAGTGCTTCCATAGGATTTCCAAAGAAATTCACTGTTAATTAGCAGGATCATTATTTGAAAGTGTTACTGAGTATCCTAGCATTTGTACAGCCATCCCCCTCCAAATTGGTCACTCCCAGCTGAGGGCAGTTAATACCTTAACAAACTGGTCATTAACTCCAGTAACTGATTTTGTGGGAATTACTGCACTTATAAAATACATTTGATAGTTTATAAGAAACATTGCCTCCCTTCTTCCTTTTTAAAGAAATTTACAGCTATAGCTCAGTCCAAAGAGCAGAAAGAAAGAAATAAATCAGCTCTCTAGAGCTGTTCTCATGATCCATTTTTCTGCCAATTAAAGGGCAAACACATGTTG